AGAGTGTCCACTAGGAGCAGCCGTAACACCAAGGGAGTGGCCAGCAAGACTGAGGCTCCGCCATCTTGCCTGCCAGCATACCAAGTAAATAGCTCCCCTGCCCCAAACCTTTTCTCACTCCCAGCCTTTGGTCATAGCATGGAATGGGGAACAACAAAAGGCCCCTGGCAGCTGGGGAAGGGGCGGGAGGGATAAGAGTGACCCTTGGTATCTGAGAGGAGATAGAAAAGGAACCCTGGAAGCCAGAGGGACTGGGGAGAGAGAAAAGGGTCCCTGGTAGATGAGGGGAAGGCTATTAACGGTGATGCTTATTGGTTAACCGATTAACCTTTCACATCCCTATACCAGATGGGATCTCCTGACCTAAGCCTCATTCCCCAATCTTCACTGTTCCCTCTCCCCAACCCCAAGGCCCTGTCCAGAGTCCTGCACACCCTACACCACCAACCTCCTGCGCTGAAGGAACCAGACAATTCCAAGTAAGTCTGCTACTAACTATATAAATGAATGCCTAAGAGAACTGCAATTGGCTACAAATGTTGACTATGTATAAAAGAAAAAGACCCAACCATGATCCATTTTAGAATTATAATCCCTGCAAAGAAGCTGGTAAAAATTATCTAATCCATATTTCCTCCTAGTTACACTTTATACTAGTGGTGAATCAAAATGTGATGAACAAGAATAAATGCATGGAGAGAGTATGACCCAAGCTCAGGTTTGGCTGCAGGGTCTTTGGTGTAAGACCAACACAAGTTGATTCATTGAGAAAAAGCAAGAGGGTGGAGGGGGAAAAGGGAGTGTAACTAGACTAGTTGTAGCACGAAGGCTGAAATAAAGATGCAGAGGAAGACAATGTTCACTTGTACAGAACTACCATAGTGATGAACCATTAATTAATATTTGAGGCTGCAATGGATTACTTTTGCCAAGGAATGCTACATTATACAGGCAGGAAATCACTTACCTCAGGGCAAATATTTTGAACCTGGTTTTCTGTTGTAATTATGTTGGTTATCACGAAAAAAGAGTCTATTCCCTAACAGAAAGAAAACAGAAATTAAATATTATGTGCAACATTCTGATACCTGTCACTCCTGTGTTAATCCAGGGGGACATCACTACAGACAAATGCCCTTGGCTCTAGTCTCACTCAGACCTGTTTAAATCAGGATTAGCTCCATGTTCTTCAAGTATAAAACTGGTGGACGATCAGGAATAATTTTACTAACTTCAGTGAAATTATACCAAAACTGATTTTTTCCCTACTGTTAGTAAAATCTAAAAAGACTTGTGGTAGAAACACTGAGTTTCTTAAAACTCCACAAAAAGAAAATTTTAATATGACTTTTTCCATGCTTAAAAGTTAATGCTTCCAATTTACAGCCTTCTTAATTCATGCCCACAAATACCACTGTTTCTCTTGTTGATATGCTAAAGCCACTGGCTATGTCTACACTGCAGAGATTTTTCAGAAAAACGGTTGTTTTTCTGAAAAAACTTCACTTACATCCACATTGCAAATGCATTCTTTAAAAAAAAAAATCAAAAGAACAGAAGGGTTTTTCTGACATTGGTAAACCTCTTTCTATGAGGAAGAAGCCTTTTACCGAAAAAGCTCTTTTGGAAAAAGGCGTGTGTGGACGGGGAAGAGAGTGTTTTTTTGAAAGAAGAGGAAAAAGGAAAAAGCACAGGTGCCCTGGTGGCCGCTCTGTCCATATTAATCACAGCCTAAATGTGAGATAGTGTCCATTCAGTGTGGATGCAATCTTTCAAAAAAGCAGACTGCTTTTTCAAAGCGCTTTTGTTGTGTAGACACTCTCTTTCAGAAGAAGTTTTTTCAGAAGAGCTCTTCAGGAAAAGCTTCTTCCGAAAGAAGCCTGCAGTCTAGACATACCCACTAAGCAATAGGACAAAGATACAGACTGGCAAAACAACTACACATGTCTATGGAAGTCAGACACTGCACTGATCTTAAAATGAGACTCACCTGCACAGGAATAGTGTATTCTGCTGTGTCCCAGATCCTTGAGTCAGCCTGAACCACACCTTTTACTTTTGTATGAACTGAGCTGATCACAGAGTCCTTTTTCTGATACCGTTTATCAGTGACAAGTACATAACTAACCAAACAAAATGGAAAGCACAAATTAACATACTGAAATGGACTGAAATGACAGTAATTTCTTGGCACTATTATCAGAAAAGTTATACTGTAAATTAAAAGCTCAATTAAAATTTGTAACGAAATTTGAGATCTTCTGTGTTGAATACATTTATCCAGTCAACCATTTTAAGCATGAGATCACTTTTTGAATTTAGGTGCAATCCAGGATCTACCTCAAACCCAAATACCCTTGCCCCTGCCTCCTTTGTGCCCCTTCTCTGAAGCCTTGCCCCTGCTCTCTCCGTCCTCCTTTTCTCCCCCATCCTCACTCACTTTCACCAAGCAGGGGCAGAGGGTTGAGGTGCAGGCTCTGGTCTTGAATTAAGGGATTTGGAGTGTGAGAGGGACTCTGAGCTGAGCTTGGGGCAGGCAGTTGAGGTACTGGAGGGGGTTCTAGGTGCAGGCTCTGGGAAGGTGTTTGGATGTAGGGGTGCTCGGTGCTAGGGCAGGGACTAGGGATGCAGGAGGGGGTTCATGACTGGGGTAGGGCTTCAGGATGTGGGCTCCAGCTGGGCACTACTTACCTCATGTGGCTCCTGGGTGGTGGTGCAGTGGGGCTAAGGTAGGCTCCCCCTTGCCTTGGCCCTGCACTACTCCCAAAAGCAACCAGCAAGATCTCTCCAAAATCATAGAATCATAGAGCTGGAAGAGACGTCAGGAGGTCATCAAGTCCAGCCCCCTGCTCCAGGCAGGACCAATCCCAAGTAAATCAACCCAGCCAGGGCTTTGTCAAGCAGAGACTTAAACACCTCCAGGGATGGAGATTCCATCACCTCCCTAGGTAACCCATTCCAGTGCTTCACCACCCTCCTAGTGAAATAGTTTTTCCTAATATCCAACCTAGACCTCCCCCACTGCAATTTGAGACCATTGCTCCTTGTTCTGCCATCCGTCACCACTGAGAACAGCCTCTCTCCATCCTCTTTGGAACCTCCCTTCAGGAAGTTGAAGGCTGCTATCAAATCCCCCCTCACTCTTCTCTTCTGCTGATTAAACAAACCCAAATCTCTCAGGGTATGTCTACACTAGCCCCTTAGTTCGATCGAGGGAGGGTAATGAGGGTGACCAAAATTGCAAATGAAGTGTGGGATTTAAATATCCCGTGCTTCATTAGCATGTTCCCGGCTGGTTGCCATTTTAGAAATTGACTAGCCCGAAGTAACTGCCAGCGTCTACACATGGCAGTGAAACGGGATTCTGAATTAAAGCCCTAAATCGAATTAGCTGTTATTCCTCCTGCAATGAAGTTTACCAGCTAATTCAAGTTAGGGCTTCTCCTCCCTATTCATCCACTTCTTGCAAGCTTCCTTTCTATGTTTAAGCTCACCATGGATGTCCCCGGTAAGCCAATCTAGTTGCCTACCATATTTGCTTTTCTTGCTGCGCATCGGGATGGTTTCTTCCTGTGCCTTTAATAAGGCTTCTTTAAGATACTGCCAGTTCTCCTGGACTCCTTTCCCCTTCATATAAGCATTCCAGAGGATCCTGCCCATCAGTTCTCTGAGGGAATCAAACTCTGCTCTTCTGAAGTCCAGGGTGTGTATTTTGTTATTCTCCTTTCTCCCTTTGGTCAGGATCCTGAAATCTGCCATCTCATGACCAGTGCTTCCCAGGTTGTCACCCACCTCTACTTCCCCTACTAATTCCTACCTGTTTGTGAGCAGCAGGTCAAGCTGGGCATGGCCCCTGGTAGGTTCCTTCAGCACTTTTACCAGGAATTTGTCCTCAATATTCTCCAAAAACTTGATAGTCTGTGTACTGCTGTATCAGTCTCCCAAGGGATGCCAGGGTAATTAAAGTCTCCTATTAGAACCAGGGATGGTGATCTGGAAGTTTCTGTTAGTTGTCTTAGGAAAGCCTCCTCTACCTCATACACACGATCTTCTGGTCTATAGTAGACACCCATCACACCATCATCCTTGTTGCTCTCACCTCTAAACTTAACCCAAAGACTCTTTTCTCCAGCTTAGTTTCTCCCTATTTTATGATCTCTAATAGGGATGTAAAAGTTCAGTTAACTAACTAAACAAAAAGTCGATGCAATTTGCATCGACTATCTGATTAGTCGATAAGGCGGTTCCACCTTTGAAGTGTAGCAACAACCCCAGGGCTGTTGCTACATTTCAAAGGCAAAAGGGCTATGGGGAGCACGGGGCCAGTGGGGGATACCCCTGCAGGCCCCTTGCACCCCATGGTGTTTCAAAACAGTAGCACCACATGGAGCTTGGGGTCAGCTGGGGACCCCAGACTACATGCAGCGCTACTGCTTGGGAATTCTGCATGCAGCCTGGAGCCAGCTGGGGACTCCCAGCTGGCCCCAGGCTGCACGCAGCATCTCAAAGCGGCAGAGCTATGTGGAGCTCAGGGTCTGGTTCTGGGCTCCATGTGGCGCTGCCGCTATGAAGCATCTCTTCCTCTTCCCCCCCAACCTTGCTGCCTCTTTCTGACAGAGGCAGCAAGGCAGGGGGGAGGGAAGCAACTAGTCAACTAGTTGTTAACATCCCTAATCTCCATAGTGAAGGTACAAATTAAACTACAATAGAACCGCAGAGCTATGAACATTTGGGCTGTGTCTAGACTGGCAAGTTTTTCCACAAAAGTGGCCGCTTTTGTGGAAAAACCTGCCAGCTGTCTACACTGGGCCCTTTGAATTTGCGCAAGAACACTGATCTAATGTAATATTGTCAGTGTTCTTCCGCAAATACAATGACTCTCCCATTCGGGAAAAAGCCCTCTTGCGCAAC